TGGTCTAGGGCAGAGGTCCCCAAACTTGGCAACTTTAAGACTTGTGGCGACTTCAACTCCTAGAATTCTCCAGCCAGCTTTGAAGTCCACAAGTCTTAAAAGTTGCCAAGTTTGGGGGGCCCTGCAATAAAGCAAACTAAAACTAAACTTCCCACACTGGACAGGCTGGTCTCGAATGTGGCCACCCCGGGCAGCCACTGGACCATGTACTGAATTTGCTTGGCTTTTCACAGCTTCTTGTGCGAACTGAGCCCATTGAGCTGCTAAGCCTGTGGTTGAGTGGATTGAATGTGGGAGATGGGTTAATGCAGGAAACCAGCCCAGTGGGGCGTATGAATGTAGCCGTTGCACCAAAAAATGAACCTCTTAAGTACTGCTTAAGTATTTATTTACAGAGCAATTTTAAGGGCTCTCCCAGAACATTAAAATGGGAAGCGTTTTACAGCAGGCGCTGCAGACTATTTGAGAGTGGGCTGGCTCTAGGAAATCTAAATGATATAAGTATCTAATATAAAACAGGATGCTAAATTATGTAAGATGCTAAATTACAGTTAAAAGATGTAGTGATTCCAGTTTTGGAAGTATCTTTGATTCCAGAAATTATCTTGAGACAGATCTTTAGTATACCTACTTTATAAAATACTGACACTAACCCTAAATCTTTACCTGGATTTCTTCTCGTGGTGTTGGCCTTGCCCTTTTACTTTTGCTGATAATATTCTGGAACTGGTAATGGAAAGGAGGGGCTGGGGTTGAGGGGGAAAAATACCATGACATTAAGCAGGAAGTTATTGCAGCAGAGAGGCTTCAGCTTAGGAAAGGGGTGTCATGGCATTGTCACATGATGTATTGGGACTTTATCCCCCTTCGCTAAATCAGGTGTGGGCATGGGCATGGCCAGTGCATGATGCAGTTTGAGTTTGACAGCCCTTGTTTAGGACATTCGGGTCCAGATATGTTTTTGTTGAATTGCTGTGTAGGAACTAAAAATAGGTCCTGGCCAAGTCAAAAAAAAAACAAAAAAAAAAGCTGAAGCACAAAGCAGCTCAATTTTAGCTTAGATCTTTTGTGAATTGAGCCGCTGTATAATCAAAAAGTAATTCCAAAACTAATTAGCATCTCCCACTTTTTCCTCCTGCTGGTCCATTTTCAGTTCAATTATAAGCTGTGCTGCAACAATTTTTCATTGCACTGTCTGCACATTGAATTAAAAGGCTCAGATAGTAATTCTGTTGGTCCTGTATTTTATGGTATTGCACAGAAATAACACTCCTTGACTTTCTGCTTGTGTTTGAATTCAATCAATTAGATCGTTTATGGAAAATCTTGTCTTTTGTGGTTGCTCTTCCTTCCGTTGCTATCTGCCAGCTAAATTGCTACCTGAAGAAAGATGATCATCATGAAAGGCCAGAATTTATTCCATACAAGCATCTTTACATCCGGACCAAGGTACTGAATTTTCATTGACTTGTTCCATGAAGACTTGTTGGGAGGCATTTGCAGAGAGTTGCAAAAATTGAGGTTTAGATGGGTTGGGTCAGATCCCAAAAGCATGGCCTAGACACCAATTGTTTCTGATCAAATACAGGTAGTTCTCAACTTATGATCACAATTGAGCCCAAAACTACCATTGATAAGTGAGACATTTAAGTGGGTTTTGTTCCATTTTAAGATATTTTGTGATGACCCAGGGTGTGGCACAAAAGCAACACAGTCATATAAGTAAGAAAAGTCCCTTTAATACCTCCAACTTCGCCCCCAATGTCCAGTTACCATCTGCTGGAGAAAAAAACACTCCCAAGAACAGTCTTTAAGTGAAGAAAATTCAGTCCGAAAAAAAAGTACATATTAAACTAAATAAAAATCCACACAAACCACGCTGCAGTAAGTAACTTGACAGGGCAGGAGAAGGAATTGCAGACTTCAAAGGCCAACAAAACACACACAGTTGGGAAGATGCCAGGAACCCAGATAAGCCTCAACAGTAAAAGATAATTCACAATTTGCATCCAACAAGTTGCTGTGCCTAGCTTTCCTTTTTAAACAGTGTTCCCAGCTGCAGCTAATGAAGGGAATCAGGGCCCTTTCCTCCCCGTAAGCCACCAACCCACATCGCTCCCTTCTCCGTTCCTCCCTGCATGCCCTAGGATGAAGAAGGGGTGGGCCTGGGTCTTCCTCCAAATTCCTTCTCTCTTGCTCTACCTCTCCCCTGCTCTGCCCAGCCGGACTGTGCCCTTCCCCAGTTTCCTCCACAGCCAACCGAGTCACTGGTCAAAAACATATAATAAAGAATTTATATAATTTAGGAAACTAAAACTACCATCTCTCTTCTCTTTGCAGCCCTTCCCTTGGGGTGATGGGAATCATTCTCTTTTCCATAATCCACATGTCAATGCGCTTCCAACTGGCTATGAAGAGTGACCATTAGGCAAGTGAATCACAGCCACAACATGGACCATTAAAGGTAGCTGGACCAGAATTGAGGCTGGGACCAGAATCAAGGCTGGGACCAGAATCTGCATTTCCTGTGTTGATTTATTCTGACTTCTCACAGTTGATGTTCTTCCTGTAGAAGTCTCCTAAAATAAAATGTATTCTAGCCAAATCTTTGGTTTTTTTTAACTTTGTATCAATACCTTTTATCCTGCTATCTTGAAGGGGTGTGTGTGTTATTGTTGAGCTTTGTAGATGAAAAATTAACTAGCACTGTGTTTGCAGGAAAGCAGCTGTGCTCAAATTGTTAATATATGTGATATAAGAAAAATGGCTACTGGTCAAGATTGCTTGGAATTAGAACAAATTATATTCTGAAGAAGTAAGTTTCCTGTATAGAAACTGACAAGAAAATGAATAACGTATCATTTTAGTGAAAGCAGAATTATTCATCTTGTGTAGGGGGGCTAACTAAGGGGCAAGTGCTGTTTTGGGATGTATTAATAGGAACACAGAATCCACATCGCAGAAGTCAGCTCTCTGCTTTTCTATTTGCCTTGGCGAGGCCCTTAGAATATTCTTCCCAGCTTAGGCACTGTAATCCAAAACAGACATTGAAAACTGGAGAGAGTTCAGAGGAGAGCTGCCAAGCCTTTGGAACAGTAGAAAGATCTAGGTGTCTTTACCCTAAAAAGACAAAACTGAAGGAAAATACCATAGCTTTCAGATTTGTAAACCATTGTCATATAAAGGAGGGAGCAGGCATGAAGGTCGATATCCCTGAGGTCAGAACCAGAATCAGTAGGTTGAAACTAGATTCTAAGTAAGTACATTTGTTTTAGATACCAGGAGGAATTTCTCAATGGTCAGCCAGTCTTAATAGGTTGCTTTTTAAAGTTTCCCTTTACTGTTTTGCAAATCTTACACCAAGCAGGAAATGAACATCAGGACACCTGAAGTCCCTTTCAAATCTGTGATGTAATACTGCTTTAAAAAGCTGATAGTGACGTGTGATTGCAATTCACAATCTGATAAATAGCAGTGACATGTGATTACATTCTAGAAATCTTGTTGGTGGGATATATTATCTGTAAGCAAAGTGCAGCAGGGCAGAGTTCTTTATACAGTAGAGCAGCATTCATTGCTGGTTTGTGAGTAGAGCAGGCAGGCAGCCCCTTGAATGTGCATGTGTGCACCCACACACACACACACTCCAGGCTGGTGGAGAGGGATTGATTCTCTGAAGTTGAGGTCTTGAACGGGTCTTGTCAGACATAACTTCTGTAATTCTGTAAAGCATAACTTCATATGCTTCTGTCAAAGCATAACCCCCAGGTTAAAGCTAAGTTACAAGCCATTTCTAATTTTGTATGTTTCCTAATTTAATTTCCATTATTGCATATACCAGAACACACTCTTAACTGCTCAGTCACATTTGTTAAGGCACTTTCTCCTGCAAAGAACGTTTCCATATCTTCTATGTGTCTCCAAAGAGCCTTTCCCTGTATTTCATAGTCATGTGAAAAAGTAAAAAGACCCCACGTAGTTTAAATTATGCAGACGTACCAATATTTTATCTTCAAACAGTATATGGGTGATTTGATTGAACAAAATAGCCCAGGATAAATGGACTTTGCAATCATTTATTCAACATAGATATGCCGTTTCCTTGTGGGAAAAACGAAATCTCCCCGCTCCAAGGCCTATCACTGACCCCCTTCTGCCAACTCCCTCCAGCAGGCTTTCCTCATGACTGTCTACCGTCTCTGATTGGAGGGGGGATTTCTTTCCACTCCTCCATGCAGATATTTTTCAGCTGGTGGTACTGGGAGGGTTTCGTGCACGCAGAGCCAAGCTCAAATCCTCCTCAGCATCTCAGTGGGATTCAGATCCAGGCTTTGACCTGAGACAGGCAGTAATAAAAATGAGTAAATAGATGCTATCCTTTGTTATTAATATTTTTTCCATCCCAGTTTTATTATTTTCATAAACAACTCGTGGTGGTCTGCCTATTTTCCTCACACATCCCTGAGCTGGGTTGGGCTGAAAGCGTGCAACAGGGATTGTCCCTCAGGGACACGAGAATTTGCCTCCTGCTTTCTAGGACAGCACTTTCCCCACCACACCAAACTGTTTTTGCTTTGTCTTCTGGTACTAAAGCTAAATATGTAACACTACCTTTGCCTTGTCTGTCCAGAGCACAGCGTCCCATTTCAGGTTACAAACATACACACACACACAGAGTTGCTTGGTGATAAGCAATTTACCTAAGGGTCAGCAGAGGGTCTTTGAAAATAAAACTTGCCAGGTGTTTGATGGAGGGGCACACCTCATGATTTGACTGCTCCAGTTAGTCTGATGCTTTTGATCAGCCTCGGGATTCCTGGGTTGGTGTCTCCTGAGGCTGACATTCTGCTGGTTTAGTTGGGAGCAGCTTCTTTATAGACTCAAGAGTTGTTCGAGTCATGGGCCACGACGTCTAGGGGTTCATGAGGTAACCAGTCTTGTCTTGATGGTCCTTCTGGAGGGCAAAGGTTTCCTGGCTTACTTCCCATGAAGATTTGTACAGCTTCATTCTAGTGGTGGAACCATACAGTTCAATATCAATAGTAAAGAGAGTTTACCTGTTGGTCATGTGACAAAATTCTGAGGTTCTTAGGGATTTATTTCACGCTCTTGCATCTGCACTTGAGATGAACCTAATGGGCTGGACAATGAGTCATTTTATTCTGTTCACTGACTACCAAATGCCTGGCCAAATTGGCTGTTGTTTGAAATCTCCATTTGTAGATAATCATTGGAATGATTGCTGCCCAGTTGTTTGGTGATCCTTTTCATGGCTTCTATAATCTTTTGGAAAGCCCCAGAGCATTCTTTCAAGCTAAGCATGGTGATAACACATATTTCAGCAACAAAGGCTATAAACCAAACTAAAAGCCTGAGGATTTAAAAAGACAGGTTCCTCCAAGATTCTGACAATGGGTCTATTCATCGAAAACTCAACTTTTCACCATTTGAGGTAGTGATAAATAGGGATGTACTTACTTTTTCTCCATGCAAAAAAATTCTATTATTTTTATTTAAATTTACAATGGTCCACAAAATTTAAACAGCGCATGATATGTGTTATATTGTGTCCTCTTTGTCAATATTGTGGAAGTTCAAATATCTCTATGTCGAACAAGTCAAAAACTTCAATAGGGGCATTTACTTTTTCACATGACTGTACATAGGCAATCATGATAAAGCCTTTCCCAGCAACAGTGGAAACGAAGCAGCAGCCACTAGATTGATGTGACCAACATTGCAAGGAAGCAGCACCCTGTATCTCCCCACCCACATTAGTGGTATTTGGGTGAGTTCCGTGTTTGGCAGCCAGTTCATTTTAGTTTGCCTGTTTCGTGGTCTTGGGCAGGGGGAGGGATGCAGATGTCATCAGATTTATGAAGAGTTCTCAGACTTTTCTTTGCTGGAGCCCATGAACTCCAAGCCTTCGATGGGTATGTCCTTCTCTTTAATAGCTTTCTAAAAGGGAAACAAATGACGGATAGTCTAAGAGGCCGAGAAGGTTCAAGGAACATATTGCAAGCACTAAAAGTCCAGAACAACCTCAAGATAAATGTCCAAACTGTAGAAAACAGTCATCATTTGTTTTCAGATTTACAAGCAAAACTCCCTAGTTCTCCCTTTTTCACGAGGCATTTGGCATTCCCAATGCTGGATTGGGTGGTGCAGTGGCTAGAGGGCAGCGGGGCTACTTCTGCTGACTGACTGCAATTTGGCAGTTCGAACCTCATCAGGCTCAAGGTTGACTCAGCTTTCCGAGGTCTATAAAACGAGGACCCAGATTGCTGGGGGCAAGAGACTGACTCCTGCAGAGGGCTGTAAAGTACTGTGTAGCAGTATATAAGTCCAAGGGCTCTTGCTATTTGCATGACAGGTTGGGCCACCAGTTCCCCAAACAACATTTCAGCCTAGCAGGTTGTTCAACACAACCCAGAAACCTCCAGCTGAGAAAATTCAGAGTCTCAGTTGTGAGTTGGGCAGGGGTCTCCAACCTTGGCCACTTTAAGACTTGTGGACTTCAACTCCCAGAATTCCTCAGTCAGCTTTGCTGGGAATTGAAGTACACAAGTCTAAAGTGGCCAAGGTTGGAGACCCCTGAGTTAGAGGGAAGGCCGTCATGCAGCATCCCCAAACCAGGCAGCCTCTGGTTGTCGGGTTGCCCCCTGCCCGCCCCGCTGCTGGGAGGCAAGTTCGGGGCCCAAACTCGCTTCCGGCACGATGCCCGCAAACACCCAAAGGGAGGCGTTCGCTGGAGACGCCCCTCCCGCCCAGCTGAAAGAGGCCGCGGGGCCTTCGGGGGCCTTTCTCAAGCTTGGTCGCTCGCTCGCTGGCTGGGGAATTCTGGGAGTTGAAGTCCTCCCACTTTCACGCGACCAGGGATGAGAAGCGCCGGGCTCAGTATTAACACGGCGCTCTGCCTTCTCCTTCCCCGGGGAGGGGGGAAAGAGCAGAGCACACACAGACACCCACACGCCGCCCCCGCCTGTTCCCAGGCCCGCCCGTCACCTGGACGCAGAGCTGGTAGCGCTTGAAGAGCTGGACGCAGGGGTCCCCCCCGTCGCCGGCCTCCCCCTTCAGGAACTTCTCGGCGAACCAGCGGTTGAAGCACTGGTCGTAGTCGCGCTTCAGCTCCGTGCAGGCCTCGCCGACGCTGTTCATGGCGGACTGACGCAGCGCCCCGGAAGGCAGGTTGTGGCGTCACTTCCGCCTCGACGCCCGGAAGTAGAAGAGGCGCGTTTGACATGTTCGGCTGCAGGTGGGCCCGGCGGGGCTGCTGGCGCCCCTTGCGCTCTGCGCTCGGCTGCAGGGGCGCCTCTTCGGCGGAGGACGCCGGATCCGGCCGGGTGAGTAGGTAAGACTTGTGTGCCAGTGCCCCTGCCCCGCTGCCAAGGTGGCCGGGCAGGGGGGCACAATTAGGCCAGGCTCTGCTGCGTTGGGGACTCTGCTTTCTGCTGCGGGATTTAGCCTGGCAGAGCTGGGGGGATTCTCCGTTTTCCTCGGTGGTTTTCCAGGCGAAATGAAGCCCCATTGACCAGGGGGTCTCCAACCTTGGCAACGTTAAGACTTGTAGACTTCAACTCCCAGAATTCCTGAAATAGCGTTGCTGGCTGAGGAATTCTGGGAGTTGAAGTCCACAAGTCTTAAAGCAGCCAAGGTTGGAGACCCCTGCCATCTCCTTTGTCCAGCTGAATTCCCGTCCCATTTCTAGGAGTATATTCTAAGTTTCCACACAGTATGGTTTGCCGGTATATAGAAAGCAAAATTGTTTTAGCAGGCCAAAATTACTTTGGAGTTGTTGGATCATCTGGAGCGACTGGCGCTCGTTGATTTCCGTAACTGGGAGGGCGTCCGCCGTTTGGAGAGCGCGGTTGAATTCGCCGAACAACTTCAAGCAGTGAACACTGATGGAATTGAGCCCATGGAATCGGTGCTGGAAGACAGGTAGCTATCAGGAGCCCCCTCGATAGTTTCCAAAGTTTGCTTTCTGACTTTTCAGGTCCAGGACAGAATGTCAGCCTTGAAGATTTTTCTCCTTTTGCTTTGCTTCCTTCGGCTGTCATAAGTAACGAGGGGAGGAGGGGGGAATGATTATGGGAAGTGAGCTGGAGGTGTTACAAACTAGAATTGTATAAGGGGGGGGGGGTTCGTACATTCTTGCTTAGGTTTCTTTCCTATGTGCAGCTGCAACCCTTTATCAAACTATGACAAGGTCAACACAACTTTTAATTGGATGAGCCAATTGAACTATTGGGGGTGCGAACGTTGCCATTACTTTGCATATGTGATTTACGTGCCCATTTTCTAAGATTCAGAATTCTTTTGTTGCTACCACTTCATTTCCAGTAAAAGATATCTTTTCTCTAATTAAAAGAGTCTAAGTATTTCTTTCTTGGATTTTGAATGGAGTACCAGCTGACAGTCACTGGTATTCTCAGGAAGCCATTTAATTCTGAGGAAGGGTATTCATCACCCCCTTCAGACGCAGCAGACAGTTTCTGCAGACAGAAGGCTGGCAAGTGTTGGTACTGTACTGCTGAATCATTCCCAATTCAGATGAAAAGTGGGACCACTTGCACCTACTTGCTCTTTCCAGCCTTGGCAAGCCGTGTAATATATCACCTGGCCTTTAAGGGGGAAAACATGGTAGAAAGCTGCTGTATTTCCAAGCTTCCTAGCAGGCTGTTGATGAATGATTTGTGTTCCTTAGGCATCTCTACCTCAGGGAAGATAGCATCTCGGAGGGGAACTGTGCAGAGGAACTACTGAAGAAGGCTGCAAAGACTGTTGAAGGATATTTCATAGCTCCACCAGGTTAATATTTTGCAGGGGGCACGCAGGGAAATTCATGTTGTGGAATTTTAAGCACTTTTTTCATAATGTGAATGCAAGAGAAGTTATTGAGAATTTATTATCTAATTTCATTATATAGGATGCTGTAATGGTGGGTCTATTGTTAACTCTGCTAAGGAATATGATTCTGGATTTTGGAACCTGCCTAAATTATTGAATATTACATGTGCTTAATTTCAGTTATTCTACAGAGTATAACTGTGCCATGAACATCCTTGACAGTTGACATTTTCCATTTAAAATTTGTAAGGTGTTGCACTGACATTCATTTTTACAACTAGGAGCACAATTGAAGCTTGTTTATTTGAAAGCAAGTCCTCTTCATCAATAATATACATCTGATTTAGCTTTATAGCACTGGTAGTTGAATGATATATTGAATAATAACAGTCAAATTGTATTTCTAATAGAAATTGCCAAAACGATCGAAAGTATTTTATTCCTGCCCATTTTTGTTTCCACTAGGTAACATTCCTCTGCCAAAGGTAGAAGAGAGGAATACTTTTCTTCACAAGGAAGATTCTTAATAGAAGATTTGATGCCATCACCAATTGCTTTGAGACACATTGTCTATTGTCATTAGGATTTTTATATCAAGTACCTCATATAATTGGGAATGGGGAGGAACTGGAACTGAAATGACTGGTGTTGCTTAGCTGAGAAAAAGACAGAGCTGTATGGATTAGGAAAGAGTATCACGGACACTAAGTTTAACACAAACATGGTGTGCAAACATGTCTAGAACTTCTTTTAAACCCCATACAAGAATTCTGGTCATATTAAAATGTTGTACTAGTTTACTGGTACATTTTATAGTATTAAATATTTTAATCACCCAACCTCAATCACCAAATCTCCCCAAAGAAACACATAATTGTGAAGAGACTATGATCAAAAGTCGTGAAATGGGGAAGTTCATAGGCCCAACCCTGTAAAAGTTTGGGAACCTGAGTAGAGAGGCAACACTAGCCACAAGTACAATTCCTCCATAAACTGAATTGGTGTGAGCAAATAACATATAACCATGGTTAGCACTGCTCAGTCAGTCTAGCAGAAACATGGAAAATATCCAGAACTGTTGTGGTTTAAAGCTTAAATATAAAACTGTTGAAATACAGCCTTAAGTGAGCTACTGGTCCATAAATTGGCAGACATTAGCCCATGCTGAGATCTACTGATTAAATCTTATTCAGATCCTTAAAATGGAGTATTCAGGACTTTAGAAATATCAGAAAAAGGGACATTAATAAATGACACACATGCTTCTGTTTTTGAAAAAAAATCCTAGCACAAAAGAGGGACCATGTATTACTGCTGAGGGAAGAACATTCTGCAAAATGGAATTCAAACATTCACTTTATGCGTTCAAATCACTGTTTCCTTGTTATTCGGTCATGAAACAAAATATTTTCCAGGAAAACTGAATAAAATGTAGCACAATTGCTTTTATACTTTGAAATTTCTTTTTAATTATTGCAAAAGATGATGTGTAGTATTGTGTATTAAGATATGCTGTGGCATTTAGATTTAATTAACCAAGGAACAATGTTCATCATCTTTAGAGACAGTCTTCCAGGTGGGAATGAGTTGCCTCAGAAATGCAGCCCTTTTTTGGATGAAGGATAATGTTTAGGCTAACTTCTCTATGCGTGCCTAAGAAATACAAATTTTTTTGTGCCCAGTAACAGCAGTTTATGGTTAGTCAGGCATCTAAAAGTCCAAAAATGGCCAGCTAATTTTTTTGTGCTTAATGGAGAGCAAGGGGAGGCATTTAAGCCTTGCAGAGAAGAATCCAACTGAGGAGAGTTTTATTTTAAAAGAAGGAAATTAGTGTCTTAAACCACTTTAAGTCTTAAATCTCACCCTCCTCAATAAGATGCATCTAATGCTATTCTGCAGGATACAAAATAAGTGCAGATTAACCACATTCAGGGTATCTAATCACTAAGCCACAAACAAGCCTTTTTTTTTTACTCAGCACATTTTGAACTCCAGCCACTATTTAGCAAGCAAAGCACAGAGACTTTCTGACAAATATGCTACACTGGATTTTGCAATGGACATACACTGCTTCGTGTTTTTCTAGCCAAATGTTGCTACATAATTATTTTATCATTGTACATAAATTGTATTTCATATACAACACAAGCAGCTTGACCCATTTTATACCAAAATGGCATTAGTTTTTTCTTCCACTAACGCTTCATTTGACTGCAGCTATTAATATGATGCAGTAAGGTATTAATTCAATAGAAGACCTGAGACTTTGCAGCAACTCACTTGAGCAAAGTCTCAAAATATGATTCTCAAAGCCTAGACAGCACTTTCTCTAAACTTGCAAGCTGGCTGAAATGAAACTTTATAAGCTCTTAATATGTGGACATTACAGACACGGAACTTAAATAAAACACCTCATTTTACAAGTTAACTAAGCACAAAACCACTGAAATACATTTTATTTTATGGATCAAATTAATTATGGGACTTCCATAAAACTTCCAAGAAATGCTTGAATTGGACACATTTTGCAGTTAGTGAAATGCACAGAACACTCCCTCCCCAGTAAGTTCCCCAAATTTTTAGCCCCTCCCTTAAGTAATGAAATTGTATTAAACCTGCTCTCTCAACTTTTCCAAGCTTAATAAAATCTGTCCTGGATACTGTTTGTGAAATTATATATCAAAACAGCCAGTAAAATTGCACTGGTGTTATAGTAGAACAGCTTAAGCATCCCTTCACTGTTTCTAGTAGGACAGCCGCAGAGAGCAAAATCTTTTTAAATGCTGCTTTAACCCAGTAATAAAAAGCAACTTAAAAACCAGGGTCATCTGTTTTATCTTCACCTTCTACCCTGACTGCACAAAAAGACAGCCATTCACTTATGAGTTACAGAAACACTGGAATATATTTTGAAACGCCACCAACAGTCGCTGCTTTAAAGCCCATCCAGCAAATATTAACATGTATGACTTTCAAGCTCCTTTTCCCTCACTGAGAAGGAAAGCAAGAACAACTTTACGTTTTCCAAATAAAATGCATTTTTAAGTGGCAATGATTCATAGTACTTCATTACCAACACTTCCCTAGTAAAAACAGTTGTCATAAAAAAAAGGTTTTCTTGAATAGATAGGAAAAAAAAACAACCCCAAAGGTTCCTACGAAAGACTATATCCATCCATTTTGGAATGTAAACTCTGAGCAGAAATGACATGCTCAGTTCACATCGTTACAAGTCCCTATTGGGTGCATTCAGAATGGCCTAAAGGGTGAAGAGTAGCGCGGGGATCCCCTGCTTTGGTAGGGAGAATCGCGACTCCTTGAACCAGAACGGGAGCGTGAGTAGCTGTAGCTGATGCTTCTTTCAGGACAAACTCTGATATAGGCTGTTTCACCCTGGAATTCAGAACAGAGAAAACCCAAACATTGGCATGACATCCTGTGGTCAGTGTTATGAATAAATGAATGCCAAAAATGAAGGCGAGAAACCAATGCAAGAGTGGCTCAGGACCGAAGAGTTTTCACATACGGGCAGCCAAATCCTATTGCTGCCATAGGCTAATCCAGAGGTGGCCCATCAGGTCTCCCGAAAAAGGGCTTGTTACGGAACAGCTAGGCTGGGTAGGCCAACACAGACACGTTTTGTCCCCCTGCAACTAAGAAGGGCGATGATGTCGGATTCCAAAGTTAAGCTACCAGAGGGAGAGATGCAGGCTAGTGAAGTCCTTCAGCACAGTTAGGAAAGGTCTTGGTGAATTCTCACCCAGTCCATCTTAACTTAATTCTGTTTCTGCAGTTCAGATTCTTGAAGAAAATTCCGTAACAAGCAGCCTCCATCTGTGATTGACTGGGTGGTTGAAGATCTAGCCAGCCACTAGAAGAAGGTGGTTGCAAGTGAAGTAGCAATGCCCCAAGAACAATAACCTGGTTTATAGGAGAGGTATCAAACCATCTTAAGTAGGAAGATCCAAGCACAGGTGGGGAAGATTACTATTAAGTAAGCCACAAAGCTACACAGCTGTTCCTCTGGGAAATATCATTTCAGCTTGCCAATAGAAGGCAAGCTAAGCTTATTGAAACAATCAGCTGGTAGTCATCTTTGTTCACCCACTGGCTGTCAATGGGAAAAGGACAAATGAAATCAACTTGACTTGCTCAGATGTTAAAAGCAAGTAATCCAAACGCTCATTTTCCAGGAATAAAGCACAAACTTAGTTTCTGCTTCAGTGTTTTTAACCATACCATCATGGGGTAGGTTTCACATAGCCTTGGCAACCCTTAATCTTACCAAGCTTAAACTACTGCTTTGAAGACTACTATTAGACTGTGCCCAGGAGCTTCTTGAGAAAGCACCACAAAAGGACAGGTTAATGTATGTTCCTCCATGACTTGCACACACACATGCTCTTCACCCACAGGCAGGAACCCACCTCATGAGATCGGAATTTGGTGTCATCCAGTTTACGCAGTGCATATTCCATATCTTCTTTGCGAAGAAACTCAACCACCCCCATTCCATCTTTCTGAACATCTGCATAACATACATCACCAGCTTCACGCATATGATCCTTCAGGTCCTGCCAGCTGCCTGATGGAGGAAGCCCTGAGCAGTGAGAACACAAAACAAGAGATTGTGTAAAGAGATGTCACCAGTTGCTGAGGCTACGCCAGGCATGGCTGTGGTCCACCATTTCCATAGAGTTCCTGTTCATTCCAGAGAGTCAGTGCTACAATTAGGGTCCACAGAACAGCAATAAGTTCCATTCCAAAGGGTGAGCCCTCCGTGTCAGCAAGACAGTCCCCTAGGTAAGGCTAGGATTCAAAGGTACTGGGTAGTCAGAGGAATCCTCCTATTTGTCCAATGTAAATTTAATATCACCCCTAACTCTGGACAGATTGTACTCCATGTACTCAAAATTAGATTCCCATCCAAGAATGAGGGTCCCATTCTAAGAGTGTTTGACTCCTTAGATTCCAATAGCTTATCCTTGGCAGCGAAGCAAGGATACCTGTGTTAGCTATCCACAAATACGCTATAAAGAAAAAGAAAGGGAAGTGAGTCCCCTGTTCCACAGCATATTCTGAAGAAATTAGTATGCTGCTGCTGCTTCCTGGCAGTTTTCAAGAACGCTTCACAACACACTCTAGTAAGGTAAGTTCTCCCTTCAAGCCAATAGCCAGTCCAGGTATCCTCCCTGCCCTCCCAGGCTTCTGTGTGGGAGATGTACACCTGGGGTTGTGACTTTTCATCTCCAGGTCCTGCTGCAAAATTGAAGTGATTGCCATTCAGCGATTTCCTCACCGAGAAGTCTCCTATTTCTAGCCACGATGCCACAGTAACATGCAGACTTCTTGGCATTTTATTTTAGCTTTTAGGAATATTTTTATGGGTTAAGTGGGCCATTCCATATGTTTGGCCACAGCATGCTCAATTTTCTTCAGAGACTTGATCACCATGGCAAAACTTCCAAAATACTTCCATTGCTTTCCAATGAGATTAGAACTTTTTCAATTGTCTCCCAACTCACTAGACACAGGCACCTATTCCAGGTATATCAAGGTTGTTTTGAGGAATCCACAAAGCTCTGAACAGAGGGGATCTAATTTCGGGTTAATTTTCTTTCATAAAGGACACAAATATTGTGCAGCTGTTTC